TCCGCCTCGGGTGTCCGCCTCGGAGTCCGCCTCGGAGTCCGCCTCGGAGTGCTGATTGTTAAATCTCAGCAATGTTAAAGTTTTCAAACGTCTTTCTGTGTAGGATCTGGTTTTGGACTCCCAGTAGAATTGGTAGGACAGTCCAGTTTGACCTTGAAGCCATGCTGTCTGTTCCAGCTGTGGATGGGTTCCCACCCTAAAGGCGATGCTCAAATTAAAGACAACAGGATCGCACAGACCTCCTTGGGCCAGTGGATCGCCCACTACCCAGCCTGCCTGGGCTCCAAGGTGAAGGACGCCTTCCAGGGTCAGCTGCCGTTTCTCTTCAAAGTCCTCTCGGTCAACACAGCTTTGTCTATCCAGGCCCACCCCAACAAGGTGAGCACAGACGCGCACACGTTCAAGTCTTCAAATTCAGCTCACTCAATCTGAATTACACAATATTGGACAAGATTTTGTTTGTTTTATTCCAAAGTTCAGGATGCTGTAAAGGTCGTGGCACGTTGTGTTCTATGTTTGAATGAAGCTGATCAGAGTCAAACCAGAAGGATTTTAGGAGATAAATATTTGTTTCTAACCTTTTCAAATTACAGCCGTCAGTCACGTCAAGATCCTTATACAACTACCTTTTTATTAACTGTTAAAATTATTGTTTAAAAGTATGGACTGGGTGGTAAAGTGTATTGTAGGGAGGCTTGGGACAGTCGTTCATCTAATAATATTGGAGGGATATTGTTTGGATGTAAAGATTCCCTCCAGTGAAAGAAAACCTTTTTTAACATGCCCATTTTTATTGTTGTATAAAGTGGTTCCCAACCATGGTCCCTGAGGGACACCGTCCTGCATGTTTTATTAGTTTCCCTGCTTTGACGCACCTGAATTGAATTAACAGACTTCTGCAGAACTCAAGGACGTAATTAAATCACAGAATCAGGTGTGTTGGAGCAGGAAACAACTGAAACATGCAGGATGGTGTTCCGCAGGGACCAGAGTTGGGAACCACTGGAAACCATAAAAACAAAGTGTTAATACGTACGCACTATGTGGTTAAATAGGTTGAATTTTGTCTTTGTTAATGTTCAGTACAGATCACTGCAACTATTTTAAGTAGCATTATTATTTTCTTGTTGGAACGAACCAAACAGGTGTTTATGTACATGCTCTGTCTATTTACCGTCTCTCTGTGATCTATGTCAGGAGCTTGCTGCCAGTCTCCACGCTCAGTTTCCAGAGCATTATCCAGACAACAACCATAAACCAGAGATGGCAATTGCCCTCACGTGCTTCCAGGGTCTATGTGGCTTCAGACCAGTTGAGGAGATCCTGGCTTTTCTACAATGTGAGTCTCAGAGTTCTGCACAGTCATTTGATTACTGGGCCTGGAGTGTGCTTCCAACAGATGCAGATTTCTCCTAAAGGCCACATATTCTGTTCACTGGGATAAATGTTTTACCAAGAATATGTTTTACCTGTGTGTGTGTGTGTGTGTGTACCCATCAGCGGTCCCAGAGTTCCACGCTTTGGTGGGACACGAAGCAGCAAAAGAGCTGCGGTGCAGCGTCGGCGATGAGGTTCGTACAAGCCAGGCTCTGAAGAAGTGCTTCTCAAGGATGATGAGCTGCGAGAAGAAGGTGTTGGTGGACGAGCTGAACGAGCTGGTTAAGAGAGTTTCTGAAGAAGGTGAGAAAATCCATTCAGTACAATTCAAATCAGTTTATTTCTACAGCGCCAAGTCACAACAGAAGTCGTCTCGGGGCACTGAACACAAAACATTCACAAACATTATAAAAGCCAATTAGTAAAATTTCTCTAAGGAAGCAGCAGATTGTGTTGAGTCTTCACTTCGTCACAGTCTCTCATCCTGAGCAAACACAAAGGAGACAGTGGGAAGGAAAAACAACCTTTTAACGGGAAGGAACCTCCAGCAGAACCAGGCTCAGGACGAGCGGCCGTCTGCTTTGACTGGCTGGGTTGAAGAGGACAGGAAGTAGAAACAGACAGAATGACAGGTCCACGTGTACTTTCTATAGTCCACGTGTACTTTCTATAGTCCACG